ATTGATAGCTAAAAGAAGGAAGTTTATTTATTGAGATGTGAATGGTGCTGGGCGAAAAGTTGCTCTAAATCCACTGAAAACATTTAAAAAACTAAAATATTTTTCTTTGTATATTATCATTCAACCTACTCAAATTTGATCAATTTTTTATTATTACTATTTATTTTCATTGGTTATTAAATCAACTACTATCCTTTAACATCGCCCACCTTTCGTTTTTGTTGAATATGGATCAATTCACAAATAGATATTATTCAGACCAAAATAAACATATGTCGAAGTAATTAATTTAGTTGTGTTACATTGTATTAACTAACAGATATGAAAAAAGGTCAAATGTGATTTTTTCAGGCTTCTTCAAATAGACTTGGAGGTCAATTCAAATGACATATTCTTACAAAAACCTACCAATACAACAAATCTGATGACTTCGATCCGAATAGTTTAGTTTATTTACTGAAATAAATAACCCGATTTGAGCTGGAAAATAGTTCATATTAAATCTCATATTTAATTATTAAGGGTGAATGATTATGTAATAATAATCTACATTTATATGCTAAACATGACGTGGAACACAAAAAAAGAATACGACAAAAAATGAATAAAACTAAATTTAAAAAACAGTGAATGCCACTGAAGATGTAGGATGTTGTTTTGGATCTTGAATCTGCGAGTAAGGTTTACTAGAGTCTTGTTTTTCTTGATTCCCCAAAGAATTAACAGTAACGCTTTTAGTATCGTAATAGTTCGCAGTACCTGTACTATTAGAATCAAGAGTTGAGTAAATAGGCTCCACTAGTGAAGTTAGTGAGGTTGAAAGACAACTTTTTCTAGCAGCATAATAAATGGCATTTTTATCAGAATTCAATTCTTCATAAGTATTAAAACTGGATCCACCGCTACGATTACGAGAATTGCGCTTTAGTGTTTTAATTTCCTCGTAAGTAGATACTCCTGCACTTCTAAGTGTTCCTAATGTAATGGCATTCGGGTCTGAAATTGAAGACGTTTTACGAACAGGTGGTGGCGGTGCAGGTTTACCGAGTCTCGAAAGAGTTCCGGTCGATGAATATAAACTCTCAGCTAAATGACTACCTGGGTAGGATTTAGTTGATTTCAAGGCAGAAAGTTGGACAGGCTCACGTTTAATATATGATAATACTGTTGACTTTGAAGATTCATATGTTGGACTATTACGATCAGGATTAGTTGGGGTTATAGAACCTTCTGAACAGGCACGGTTACTTTCCGATAAAATATCTCCAGAATTTTCTTGGATATGTTGAGATTGTTCGACTGAAGAAGATGAAACACTGCTACCAATATCTGATCGGCTCATTGTATTATTATTAGGTCCTTTTGGTGGATTGTATCCATTATTATTTAAGTAACTGTTTGGTGCTGAGTACATTGCTGTTTGAGAATATATCTTTTGCTGATGATTAGCATGAGATCCTGAGTAAGGTCCTGGTAAGTAAGCATTAGGTTGGTTAGATGTTGATTGATAGACACTTTGGTTTCTTGTTGTATATACATTTTCGGTTTGCATATTTTCACTCGCATAATTCTGGTGAAATGGATTACTAGGATGATGTTGATGATTATAATGAGACAGATAATGTTGATGGCTACGGTAGATTCTGTCCATGCAATTACTACTGGAGTTTTCACTTGCTGAAGCATGCATAACGCTTGGTGGATGTGATTCAGGATTGATTTGCGAGTTACTTTCTCTGATATTCGATTCCAGTGAGCATTCAGATTGTGACTTTTTTCTTCTTATAGCTTCGGTTGCAGCCGCTTTAGCGACTTCACTGTGTTGACTAGAATTCATCTTCATTTTAGACAAAGAATAATCATCAACATCACCATGTCCATAATTTTGTGGCACATTTTTGGAATCCGATTCGCCAGCTTTGTTCCGTCCAAAGAAGAATGAGCTATAAATTGCATGACTATTGTTGTTTGTGTTGCTTTGATTATTTCCATGATTAGCTCGGCTTCTACTCGAATCTACTTGACTTCCATTGTTGATGCTATTGCTATTACTGTTTCGACCACCATAAGCACTAAGACGTTTAACTAAGGATTGGGCAAAAGACTCCGAGTGACTTGATGTAGATCCACGAGGACTTGACTTATTAGACGATGTGGATTGAGATGTAATTCCAGAATCAGAGTCCCATTCTTGATCTGAGTGAGGTAATGACATACTTCGCCTTTTCGCAAGTTTAGGACTCAATCTTTGATTTTGAAATACAGACAATTTGGCATTCAATGTTTGCAAAAATTCTCTTCTCGAACAATTAATTTTAGTATTTGATGGATGAATATGCTGATTCTCAGAATCAGAATAAGCTTCTGGAGGCGGTGGAGGTAAAACATCATCATCATTTCTTTGTTTGTAAAGATTTTGATGATTTAAAAGGGTTGATGTAGACGATGACTGTTGAGATGATGCAGGATGATGCGGTGCATTGTAGATCTGTGAATAAGATTTACTTGCATCTTGTTTTTCTTGATTCCCCAAAGAATTAACAGTAACGATTTTAGAATCGTAATAGTTCGCAGTACCAGTATTATTAGAATCAAGAGTTGAGTAAATAGGCTCCACTAGGGAAGTTAGTGAGGTTGAAAGACAACTTTTTCTAGCAGCATAATAAATGGCATTTTTATCAGAATTCAATTCTTCATAAGTATTAAAACTCGATCCACCGCTACGATTACGAGAATGGCGCTTTAGTGTTTTAATTTCTTCGTAAGTAGATACTCCTGCACTTCTAAGTGTTCCTAATGTAATGGCATTCGGGTCTGAAATTGAAGACGTTTTACGAACAGGTGGTGGTGGTGCAGGTTTACCGAGTCTCGAAAGAGTTCCGGTTGATGAATATAAACTCTCAGCTAAATGACTACCTGGGTAGGATTTAGTTGATTTCAAGGCAGAAAGTTGGACAGGCTCGCGTTTTATATATGATAATACTGTTGACTTTGAAGATTCATATGTTGGACTATTACGATCGGGATTAGTTGGGGTTATAGAACCTTCTGAACCAGCACGGTTATTTTCATCGACACAAGATGGAATATCTCCAGAATTTTTTTGGATATGTTGAGAATCTCCCGGAACTGAAGAAGATTGAGATCTGCCATTCATATCCACTTGGTCGCGAATAATTTGATTTTTATTAGCTGCT